GGGCGTAACCTCTTACTGTCGTTCCAATTGGAGTGTTGCTCAAATATTGATTCAATACATTACCTCGGGCTGACCAATTCATTTCATCAAGTTCCTCGATATATTCATACACTTCCTAGTGTAATTGTAAACTTCCTGTTGAATAGTTTGAATGCACCAATCACCTTTGTTGTTTGTGCAACTAACCAATCATAAATAGAAAGGAAGTGCACTACCAGAAATGATCAAATACTTGGAATTGGCTCTTTCACAGGAAGTGTATGAATATCTCGAGGAACTTGATGAAATGAATTGGTCAGCCCGAGGTAATGTATTGAATCAATATTTGAGCAACACTTCAATTGGAACGACAGTAATGTTTCATCTATGACATAAAATATACCAAATCTGTCACTTTCAGATCATTTACATAAATTTACATTATTGTTCAGCTCACTCCCCATTGGGGCTTTTCAATGACATATTACGATTACTTATGTTCCTTACTTAGCCTAGACTATTTGAGATAGTACTTTCTTAACTATGTTTATCCTAACCCACCCTGTCAACTTGCCCTGTGAGAGGAAACCGGAGCACCCGGAGAAAACCCACGACTTTTGACAGAGCGTTGACACTCTTTTCACATGAGTCCATAGCGAGAATCGAACCAGGGACGTCGCGAAGACATCAACATTGGGGGGGTGTCGTCATGTTTTGACCAACTTTTCCTATGATTTTGACCAAGTCGTAAAAATTTTTCCCGGAAATGTTGTCGACGGGGGGGAGAGGGGGGGGGGGAGTGGGGGAGGTCAAAAAAATTTTCCGGATTGATATAGTCAAAAAAAATTTTCCGGACTAATATAAGCATATTCAAAAATTTTTCGACGAAAATAAGCAATGCTTCCCATTTTTTCACCACAAATGTAACTGAAGCTTTAAAACTGTGTTAAAAGTGCGAACCATTTCATTAATTTTAACATCTTCGGCCATCTTATATCCCAAACTTTTACCAAATTTTTCCGAGTTTTACCTTCAATTTTAAGCAAATATCAGTTCCATTTTGACCAACTTTGAGCAAATATCAGTTCCATCTTGACCAACTTTGACCAACGTTTGAATTATTGGGGGGGGGGGTGTTACACCCCCCCCCACCCCTCTATAGCGACGTCCCTGAATCGAACCCACGATCTCTCATAAATCCAATACTTCATATATTGATTCGGTGGTCCCAAAGTAGCGCGTTTTATAAAATAATATTAATGAAAACGTTGGCCTTCGGTTGATAAGGACACGCCTACCTTTGTTTCGGTTTCGAAGGTCTGCTTGTATTTTTCAAGTAGTTGTATCCATATTAATCCGAAGCTTTCTAAAATATTAATAACCCCATTTCTTCCGTTTAGGTTTTCGTCAATCTGATAAGTATCTTCAAATGCATTCGTCTGCTGCGTGTGAGCCGCGTGATTCGTAAACTGGACCAGTATATTAACTATGGCTTCATAACTTTAATTCTCTGTTTGGTCGCGTTCTTACTCTGTGCCCACCTCATGGCTTGTGCATTTTACCTTATTGCATCGAAATATGACAATTTCCATGAAGTGGGATGGGTCGCAACCTTGGCAAAGCAGACTCACCAGCCATTCAATACCAATACCAATCTAACTAACCCAGTCCTACCTACCTTGCCATCGCTTTATGTATCGTCGCTGTACTACTGTCTGACGAGCTTGACTACGATCGGGTTTGGAAATATATCGCCAAATACCACTGCAGAGAAAATATTTGGGAGTATTTTTATGATTGTTGGAGGTATGTTTTGTTTCATTTCGTTGTGTTGTGTTTTATCAGTACGCCCTTTCGATAATTACGTCACACATACTTTTTGGTCTTGGAGCCTCGCTCTCATTAGTAAGGTACGCAAGGTGATTGGCGCGACAGCATTGCAACGGTTACGCCTAGCCTGCGAACAGGCTCTCAAGCTGAATTGAGAGCCTGCATCGATGACTAATGAATTTGAATATCTGCCCCGTAACGTTCGTTTTTCCAAATATGGAATGTCTATCCTTATATGGTGTTGTTTACAACTTTCGTGCAAACTAAATTTAGACCGTGCAAACTAAATTTAGACCGTGCAAACTAAATTTAGACCGTACAGTTTATACTGTTTTTCGAAATATAAGATATTCAAGCAAAAGTTTAAATGTTTTAAATACTGTTTTCTCAAAACAGAACATTTCGTGCTTTGAGATAAGATGGCCAAAACCAATTTGATCAGTTAATGTGTTTTTTATGCATAGTGCTTCAGCAGTTGACATACATAGAGCTCAGCGGAAACATATAAATTATAGCATCTGACCAATGAGAATTTCGCGTCACGATTTGAGACGCAGATATTCAAATTCATTAGTCATCGATGCAGGCTCTCAATTCAGCTTGAGAGCCTGTTCGCAGGCTACGGTTACGCCAAGATCTTAAGCAAAACCAAAGTTCCTATTTTGTGAGTATGTAACAGACAACTCTATAGATAACCTTTTCATTTATTTTTTCCCAGCACTTGGTTATGCTGTGATCTTTGGCCAAGTCACCGCCATCGTACAACAAGCTCAGAAGCAATCAGAGAAATATCACTCATTCTTGGATAATATTCGAGCTTTTCAAAAACTTTACCGAGTACCTGATAAACTTTCGGCAAGAATCCTCGATTATTTCATGTCTACCTGGGCTCTCACTAAAGGAGTCGATACTGATGAAGTGAGTGAAAAAGATTTAAACACTTTCGTGTGGAACTCTTTACCGTATATTCGAATATTGACCTTGTCGGTATATTCGTCTCATTTCAGGTGTTGAAACAATGCCCTAAAGATTTGCAGTCCGACATTTGCATTCACCTGAATCGGAAGGTGCTGTACGACAATCCAGCGTTCAGGTCGATGCCTATGAGTGTCATGCGCACTATCGCAAGGAATTTCTGCATATGTCACGTGGCACCAGGGGATCGCGTGGTACACGAAGGAGAAAGTTTGGATGTTTTGTATTTCATTAGTCATGGTTCGTTTGAAGTGAAACAAGGCGACCATGTCGTCGGATTGCTAGGTAGGAACATTTAAAGTGCATATGGCATGAAATTTCTTATTTTTCTTAAATGAAAGAACTCTTTAAGCTGTAGTGTAACTTGTTTTTATGGTTTGTTCCCGAGTTATTTCAATTTGTTTGATATGTAAATGGTGTGAATATGTCCGCTAATTTATGACGTCATGTTGGTTGCAAGCTCTTCAAAATGGTTGAATATGACTGCTATCATCCAAGATGATAATTTCAAACTTCACTCACTGGTAAATGTGATTAAACACTGTAGAAAACGTGAACAGATATCTACAGTTTTTAGAGGTGATTTATAACCAGTGTAAGTTGAGCTTGCAACCAACGTGACGTCATAAATTAGCGGACATATTCACACTCATTTACATATCAAACAAATTGAAGTTACACTACAGCTTAAAGAGTTCTTTCGTTTAAGAAACTAAGAAATTTCATGTCATATGCACTTTAACACATTCAACTGACTTTATTTATACAGGTTGTTAGCTACAGTAAAAAAATTCGGCGTTATACGCAGTTTTGACAATTATAAAAGATTGTTCAAAACTTTACTCAAGGAAAATTTGGTAACAGATAGGTGTTGCGAGGATGTCATGTAGCCTAAAATTTGTCTGTTTTTAGTACGCAAAACAATGTCAGGTGACTTGCACTTCAAAAGTTTCAATTTAGTTCAGCTGGCGCTAGGCCACGAGAACGTCACTTAAGAAACACGATATTCCTTAACTCCGGTCTGAATGTCGCAGGCTAACTGAAATTCCCAATTTCATACCCTGTTATACTGGAAATTGTGTTGGAAAACTCTATAAGTTCTAAACTGCTCTAGAGGTCCAGAATGGGTCATCCCTTACTGGTCAAATGTTACTACGGGAGGAAATCTAACGTAACTGTATTTATACTGGACTGGTTATCAGTTATGAAATATTCTCTCCATGCAGAGGTTCAGTAAGTGCCATTCCTTATTGGTCCAGCGTTACTACAGGAAGAACTGGAGAAAAATTGCATAAAACTAGAAGTACTCTTGTGACTATGGCGTTTTAAACTTCGTATGAAAGGAAGCTAAACCCCGTTTAATAAACCCCGCAGGATTGGTTACCTTTATTCCATTTCATTATCTGAATATAGTGTGGTAACTAGGCCATCCATTTCAGTTTTCAGATCGATGATTCACATATCTGGGCATAAACATGCATTAACTAATCAGGGGCGGGTTGTATCAAGCCCGTTTAGCTTAAACGGTGGATAAGTCAAAATTAAATAACACTCTTATATCTCTCGTGAATCAGTCAACTTAAATATTCTGCACTGAATATGTAGTTGTAAACATTATCGTTCTATTAAGGTTCAAAACTTTTAGTTTGGTTGTTGAATGAATCTATAGACTTGCTTTCTATTTTGAGCTTAACCACCGTTTAAGCTAAACGGGCTTGATACAACCGGACCCAGATTTTTAACACGGGTATCCAATGTTGGATTTTTGCTCGGCACTACCAGGATTAAAAACACTTGATGTTTCCCGCCAAGGCTCTTGCTTATTATTTTGTTCTCCACATAATTTCAGGTCAAGATGACGTGTTTGGTGATGACGTATGTAACGAAGTGACTGTCGGGAAATCTATAGCTGACGTATACGCACTGACCTATAGTGATATACACTGTATTGATCGGAATGATTTGAGAGATGTATTGATGACGTACCCGGAGTCTGGCGTCGAGTTCTCAACCAAACTTAAACTTACATTTAATTTGCGTCACCAGGTATGTTGTGGGTTTTTTGAAAATCGTTGTTCTTGCAACTTGTCAGCTTGACAAATGTGAGCAAATCATTCCGTAGTCTTATCGATGATGAAGGCCCTTCGCTTAACTCAGTCACTCGCTTTTAATTGTTCTCTGGAAACGTTAGACTAGTAGTATTTGCCAGTTGCAAAAATGCTTCCAAGCAAATTCAGAAACCTGTTTTGCTTCCCAAGTGGGAAATGTTTACGGCAACAATGTTTCTTTTTTGCTCATCATCGGGAAACATGGCTAGGAAACATGGTTACCTATAGTTTGCCCACCTTCAGGCTTCAGAAAACATGACTAGGAAACAATGTTTCCTGACTAGGAAACAATGTTTCCTAGTTTAGGAAACAATATTTCCTAGTTTGCCTACCTTCAGAAAACATGACTAGGAAACAATGTTTCCTGACTAGGAAACAATGTTTCCTAGTTTAGGAAACAATATTTCCTAGTTTGCCTACCTTCAGAAAATAGGAAACAAAATGTTTCCTAGTTTGCCTATCTTCGGGAAACATGGCTTACTAGTTTTCCCAAAACCTAAGACGAGACCTTCTGTTTATTTCCTAACTCAGGTGAACAGACATAAGGAGTCAACTGCACTGCCTCCTTTGGATACAAATTCTTTTGAAAACAACCAAACCTCTTTCCCACTCCCACATAGAATCACACGGCTTGTGAACCCATCTGCTGGACGTGGCCGCAGGCTCAGTTTAGTCCAGGAACTAAACCAGACTATAGATCTGGAGTCTTCGTTCAATGGAGACATTAATATGAACATTCCAGTAAATGATGAGCCCAGTGTCCACGCGAGGACCTGGAGACGACCCGAGAGGATCTCCACCACAGTCATAAACGAGGAAGAAGAGGAGGAAGTGTCGCGCGAAGAGGAGTTACCTCTGGACCCTGGGACCGAGGAAGCTAATGTAGGTTTTTATCCAAATCAAATTCATCCAAACCAACAGTCTACTGAAGTGGCCGAACTACGAAATCAGTTAAACGAAGACATTAGTGAACTTCATTCAAAATTAACTCATGTTGAAAATCAGCTTGCTATTCTCATACGTCTCATGAAAAATGAAAAGAACAAGCCTCAACTTCAGGCTAGACATTCTCATAGTTTCCCCACTCCGACAACATCAAGTAGTTCACCACATGATTCTGGGAAAGATCATAATGGCTCGGCAGTAAATAGCGTTGCCTCACAGGAATCCGATAACGCTGGCTCACCAAGCTGGTTATCACCGACTCCCATACGAAGTAGTCGCTCCTACTCCGATCCGAATGCTCAGAAGCCGTCGTCAAAACGTGATAGAAAGAATGAGAATGTGTCGCCAGTTGTAAATTTAGCACGCCATGGACGGAGAAAAGTTAGCGATGCTTGAAAATTGTCATCTAGAGAATATATGGTCAGAGTGATGGTGCTGGACCAAGCCTGAATGGTGCCCAGAGAAGTGGTACTGGTCCAAGGCTGTCAGTCCAATGAATGATCTACAAATCAGTCAGAAAATGCTAGTGCAGTAGAGCTGTTTCAATAGCTGTATTCCTACAGTGGTAGTCAAATATGGTATTCCAAGAAAACTATTCTAATAGTTATATTTTTCTGGTCAAATGGAATACTTAGTCAAAAGGTATTTTAGTCATTATAATGGTTTAAATATCTGGCGCTGGTTGGACGAAAGCCTATCGAAGGGGAGATGGCTGTGAAACTCATTAGAATAACAATATAACTCATTATCTATGTTAGTCAACGTTTATTCATAAATCTGGTACCGTCACGTGTGTATTGTATTTTTACCAAATCTACCAATAGCAATTTCCAATTTCTCTATTGTTCGAGTCACGGATAGATGACTTTCCTAAAATATTGCAATTGGTTAGTCGGGTAAAAATACAATACACACGTGACGGTGAAGGACCAGATTTATGAATAAACGTTGACTAACATAGATAATGAGTTATATTGTTATTCTAATGAGTTTCACAGCCATCTCCCCTTCGATAGGCTATGGTTGGACGAAAGCCTGATGGCGCTATCCATCGGTAGTGAATTTTTCTACCCGGATTGAACTTTAATATTTATAAATTAATGTTTCTTTTTATTAATTGCGAGGCCAATATCCCGAGTTCTTATAATGGATTATTATTTCTCTGTGCCTTTACATGAATGAAACGTTAGCCTGTGCTCGAACTACCATGATGACAAATTTACACAACACTACCAATGAGACATATTAGACAGCAGATCCTGGTGTATTCTTTGTCTTGTCTGTTCTAACATAAGACAACTCACAACTTGTCGTGGTTTCTAGCCGTTTTCAGGCATTTATACAAGGGTTGAAAAACAACTACCTGGTGGACAGCGCTATTCAGCCTTCGTACAACAGATCCCTGAGATTGAGGGATGTTAATAACATAGATCAACTTTGACACTGTCAATGTCAAACGGTGTACAAAATTATTTTGCACTTTACTTAGTCTAAGAAACCAAAATCATTACACAAATATATGCAGAATGATATATATATATATAGTTGTATAGCTAAAATATTTTATAAAATCTTTCTATATCCTGTTCAGTGTCTATACAAATGGTTTCTAACGGCGAATCTGATTGGTGAGAAAATGTACAAACCTACAGCTGACACGAAAGGGATAGCCTCTACCCAATCCTTAAGCGTCTTAACCGCGTTAATCATCAAACGACCAAATTGCCTCCTCCTCACCTGTAGCGCTAATTATGCTGTTGCTAAGATATCGTCAGTTTACACTGGCAACCAAACCTTCGGTATAAATACTCAAACCTTTACAGCATAGGAAAAAAGAAGCTGATTTTTGAAACACTACTTGATTAAGAGAAATATCTGTTTCTTGTTATTCAACCCCTCTCTTTTAAGAGCAATCAAAATTCTTTTATATCAGATTCTATTTATTTTCGATATATCAATGTTAATATATTCATGACCCCTGAGCTCTCGTCCAAGGCCAAAAACACGCAAAAGCTATAATGAACACAGCAAGTTTTGGCTAAAAGTATTTCTTTATATGCTCTAAAACGTTAAACGGTTAGTTACAGCGTATTGGCTGTTGAAGTACTTGCTAACGTTTTTGAAATGAATATATTATTTCTGGTAGAGTTAGCTGGCTATTGCGCCTCTTTTCAGTGTTATGCCTTAAATGATGAATCGACTATACATTTGTATTTGTCACTATATAGCGAGACTCGTACTTTCAAAACTATTAAGAGACATTTAACTAATGCATTTAACAAAGTTTATTTAATTGGGAAAAATTGATATGTGCATAAATTTCTCTTGCGGCTACCACCGCCGACGCATTTCAAAGAGAATCGGTATATTAAAAGTATATTACCAATTTATTTCGTATAGACATTTGTCTAGCGTTTGTTCACCCTTTGCGTTCTTTCGTAAAGTAATGCATGTTTTACATGCGTGGCGATGGCTTATTTTTTGTTTAAGTATGATTATGTCGTCTGCAAATGTTGAATATGCAACCTATAATAATATTTTATGGCTGCGAAACAGATGTTTCGGCCAAGCTGCAGGTGATGAAGGAATGAAACGTGGGTCGAGGATAGGCGATACACACACGTCAAAAACAAACCTGTAGCAGATTTGTAGCATTGTTGTTCCAACAACTTGTCAACAGGATGTGTTCGCACTGCATGCTTGTTCCCAGCTTGTTAACAAATTGTCAACGGCTTATTCGCAACTGCCTTTAGGTTGTTGAGCTCAAACAGACTTGGTACAAGTTGTTCAACAACTTCTTATTGTCCTGCAATTCAACAATTTGTCAACAAGTTGTGAGTGACAACCTTGTAGCAACTTGATAAAATAACAGCATTGTTACAACTTGTTGACAAGCTTGCTGCAAACCTGTTGCGAACACATCTTGTTGACAAGTAATTGTGCGATTTTTACATGTGTACTTTTCCCTATGCCTGATAAAAAAGGGCGTTCCTTCATCCTAAGAGGTCCTTAATCATGGCAGTTGTCATTTTTTTTCAACCCATTATTTGTGACATTTTGTAAAATGCATGTCAGCTCCAAGTTGTCAACAATATTGTTACAGTATTGTTCAGTTGTAACAATGCTGTAACAACATTGTTGACAACTTCTTGTTAGAGTGCAGCACAACCCTGTCAATATCACTGAACCGGGAACAGGTTTTTCGTTCAGTCTCGATCCACGAGAGAATACTCTCGAGCCACGACGTGTCTACACTAGAGCAGGTACCGCAGTTTGTCGTATTCGAAAATCGAACACCTGACTTCGGTACGTATATACGAATTAACATTTACCTTGCAATTGTTTAACTATACGTTTAACAGTTACAAAGTTTATGCTGGAGTACTGAATGTAGTCACAGTTCCGTTTGGAGTATTTTTACAGCATTTGTCATCATGGCTGGACAACGGGGTTTAGTTGTTCCACAAAATACGTTTCTGGATAATATTATTAAGAAGACGAATGGCACACGTAAGTTGCAAATTTCTCTACTTTTGTTGTGTATTTATTGATCCTAGACGGTGCGGCGTCTAGTATACTACTTAGTCCAAATCTCCAATTCAATGCACAAGATGGAAATAAGTTTACAGTTGTATAATGTTGTAACTATGTAAGTAGTTCGCAATAAGCTGACGCCGAACAACTATCCAAATGTAGAAAGACGTCTTCCAAGTTTTGAGCAAAAGCACTTTGTCAGGAATTTTAAGCCGGATAACACGAAATGTTTTTCATGTACAACTTGAACATAAAACAATGGCTAAAATTACTTTTATATACTTGCCACTTGTGAATATTGTTTGTTCGAACTAAAAGTTATAAATTCAAATACAATATGCAATTATAGGAAATTTTATATTCGACACTTTTTGCTTATAAGCAGTATATAGAATATCTTTCACAAAGGTTTACTGGCAAAAACAGTAAAAGTTTACATGTCTTGTATGTCATTGCGAAGATCGGCTACGAAAACAGTGTTGGTTCAGTTACACAAGTAACTTTCGGCGAAAGTAATGCGTTTGGAAGGTGTTAACTAAATTTTGAGATGAGCTACTTTTCACTTTGTAAAAACTATACAGAGACATTTCAAACAAATTTTACGTGGAATTGAAATGCTTTATATTTACTATAAATTTTGAAAAAAATTGCAAGTGAGGTTTAGGTAATTACGTAATCATAGCAACGTCTACTTTTATAATAGTGCCCGTAAAATTCTGCCTAAAAAACTACTGTGATCGTGTTTTGAGTTCGGTTTTACTAGTTTCACAAGCCTCGAGAAGCTGGTTTTAATTTCAGTTGAAAAAATTAAGTGAGACGCTGTTTACATTTCTTAGTAGAAATTAAGTGTTTTGTGCATGCATGCTGCCAAACAAGGAACAATGAAATTAACAGTTATTTTATGGCACTATAATAGACGCGCAAGTATTGATATTATGAGAATTCTGTTAGATGAATTTGGAAATGTTATATTTGCCATAACGCGGCATAAGTTATAGACTAAAACATCATATGCATGAAATGTTTTTTCAAGAGTGGAAAATTGTGAAATTGGTTCAATAAATTCTATTCAACAAACATGTAAATTTTTAATGCATCATAGCCTATATAGTGTAACTGCAAATTGGATTTTCACATTCTGCGTATTGTCACTTAAAAGTTAAAACCGAAGTCAAAACAAAATGTAGGAGGCAAACATTTTTAACTATATATAAGTATAACGATTAGTAACGGGAAGTATGATGATTAATTAATGCAGCGTTTATAATTTCCTATGTCTGTCCTTTTCAGTTGAAACGCGGCAAACGTAATTTATATATAGCTCGGCTATCGCGCGGTTGTAGGTTTTATCAACAATGTTACGTTGTCCTTGACGAGCGTTTGCACAATAAAATGCAAATAGATCTTTAAATATGACATTGATTAAAATTTAATACCCGTATTATATAAACATATAAATTATTAATATCCATAACACGCATATAATTTCCCTGATATTCGAAACTTAATAACTGACGTCTGTGGCAAATTATTGTTACAGCTAACAATTGTTGAAACATCACGTATCGTTTGAAATATTTTGGTCAAATACAGAACATTTGGTTTCAATGTATCTCTAAATGTTTTCTGATGTCACGGAAAATGTAATCGCATCAGTTTTACTGCATGTAGTTCTAACACCACATGTGGTTATGTCGTGTTGATAGGCTAATATTTTTCTACTTTTGACACAGAGTTCGGCACGTTTTCGCATAACAGCTGTTTCAGACACATCCATATTCTAAGTAGTTTTTGCTCTGAACTACCTGAAAAAGATTCGACGCGTTTTACAAGCGAAGCCCAAACCACGAGAACTTTAATATTGTATAGAATATGATTACATACTGCTTATAACATTAGACCCCCACCGGCCCACGTTTGAAATGTTCAAACACAAACCGCAGCAGCTTATTTTAGAATGCTATACCTACACTAGGCCCCCACATTTGAGATTATCTTTTATTACCTATAGCCTACTTCCTGAATAGACACTTCCCTAATTTGCTTGTGTGCACACCAAACAATAGGCTGAATAGCAGTTGAACTCATGGCTAACATGAAATCCATTTTATGTTACAGTATTTGCCAGCCTTGACTCTATTATTATTATCTCATGGCTTCACCAAATGAATTTCAAACTTAATTTAACACATTTTCATTGTTTATTGCAGATAAACATTTTCTGCTGGCAAGCGCGCAGATCATGGATTCACCCATAGTGTACTGCAGTGATGGTTTTACCAAATTGACTGGATACAAAAAAAGTCAAGTTGTCAAGAAGAAAGCAAACTGTAGTTTCATGTATGGGTCGCTCACGACCAAAGATACTGTACGACTGTTGCGAAGTGCCATCCAAGAAAAAGAATCGGCTCAAATTGAAATACTTTTATACAAAAGAGATGGTAAGTGTTTTTAGCTCGTTAAATTGATGTGGTTCTAAGACCGTCTTCTGAGAGTTGTTTCAACACCACCTCTTAGTATAAGTAAAGTTAGTTTAGTTTAGTTTAGTTTTCCTCCTGTAATGGCACTGGATCAATAAGAGATGACCTTACTGAACCTCTAGGAAGAACAGTTTAGAACTGATAGAGTTATCCAGTATAAATAAAGTTAGTTCTGAGTTTAGTTTTCCTCCTGTAATGACACTGGATAAATAAGAGATGACCATTACTGGACTTCTAGGAAGAACAGTTTAGAACTGATAGAGTTATCCAGTATAAATAAAGTTAGTTCTGAGTTTAGTTTTCCTCCTGTAATGACACTGGATCAATAAGAGATGACCCTTACTGGACTTCTATGGGGAGAACAGTTGAGAACTGATAGAGTTATCCAGTATAAGTAAAGTTAGTTCTGAGTTTAGTTTTCCTCCTGTAATAACACTGGATCAATAAGAGATGACCCTTACTGGACTTCTAGGGAGAACAGTTTAGTACTGATAAAGTTAGTTTAGTATATGTTTCTTCCTGTATTAACACTGGATCAATGAAGGATGATTGGATCCCTAGGGAGAACAGTAAATTAAGAACTGATAGAGTAATCCAGTATAAGTAAAGTTAGTTTAGTTTTCCTTCTGCAGTAACACTGGATCAATAAGAGATGACCTTACCAACTTCTAGAAAAAACAGTTTAGGTTTCTTCCTCTAGTACTGTAACACTGTAGAGATAAGAGATGGTTTCCAGCCGGTTCAGATATCGGAAACAGAGCGTGTTTACTATATGGCAAAAGTGTAAATAATCAAGACCACAATCACCTATTCATGAATCTCTCATAATCTTTCTTTCAGCTACACCTTTCTGGGTGTTGTTAAATATCGGTCTGGTGTACAATGAACTGGATGAGGATGTTTTCTTTTTACTGACATTTCAAGACATCTCTGAATATAAAGAAGCGATCAACCCAAGCTGTAAGTATACTGAAGCCTCGGTCATACGAGGATGAGAGTTGATGAGAGTTAATTGACAGTCACGCATTGCTACTGGGGACATTTCAAGCTCTAGATTAACAAAATAAAGGTTTGATGAATGTTCCAACTATGTTTTAACTTCAATACAATACATGATAGTGTTGGGAAAGCATTAAGAACAGCTAACCAAGCTCACGTGACTGCCAACTCTCATGCACTCTCATCCTCGTGTGATCCGAGCTTTGCGCACTGTAGCTGCATGCCCATGGTTTTAAACTTAAGGAAAGCTGCCTGTCAACGATAAGTTTGGGCTAATAGTGGAACATCCTTCAAGTTTTCAAGCAAATCATCAACCTAACAAATTTCCTACGAGCTGTGTTTGCGTGCTCGACTATATTCTCTATCCTTGCATATATACAACAGTTCATGATGATAATATTACCATGCTGAAAAAGATGGTTAGGATGTTATAAGGGTTAACTAATTGCTTTACCAAATATATGATTATTTATATCAATTCAAAACTTGAACGAACGTATTTCGTCATAATTCTTAGATCGTAAACACCGATGGTCGGAATTCAACAAAGCTCTTCACACAAAACCCATGCCAGCCAATCCAATTTCGAAAGCGAAAGAAGAGAAGAATCGAGTTCACATTGCTCAGGTATTTTTTTTCCTTTTTCGTAATTCTTAATTTATCATCCCGGTCAGACATTTCGATTTTCTGTTTATTATCTTTTGCCAACACCTCGCTCTCTCTTCATTTTCTATTACTTTTTTTGCCATTGTTTATTTCACCGTTTCCACAAAAAATTAATTCACATTTCTTTACACCCAACCCACCAATACTTTTGATAACTCACGTTACCTAGTTCATGGAATCATAGAAAAAAACAATAGTAACGAAATTTTACAATTTCCTACATAAGTGACTAAAGGCCTGGGCAAAGTAGGAAACATTGTTGTGGAAACATTGTTGTGGAAACATTGTTTCCTGCCAATGTTTCGCCATATATGTTTCCCAGAGTGGGCAAACACTAGGAAACATTAGTGAGAAACATAGGGAAACATCAAATGTTTCTGAATTTGCTAGGAAACATTTTTGCTTCTCGGGAAGCAAATTTTGTTTCCGCAACAATGTTTCCACGGGTGGGCAAACATTGGACAATCACAAATGTTTCCACAACAATGTTTCCTAGTTTGCCCAGGGCTTTATTCAACTTTGTGAATTGGACATATCCCTATTTTGTCTATTTATCAATTATCATATTAAATCTGACATTTTTTGTATCTCTTCAGTTAAGGGAGGAAAATGTAAACATCCTGCCTGGATACCAGCAAGAGATCCCAGATACACCTCGCTATGTCATTCTACATTGCTCTGCAGTGAAAATAGTGTGGGATTGGTTCATTTTAATATTCATTCTGTATACGGCCACATCCGTACCATTCATAGTATGCTTCAAGTTCGATTCCCTCCCAATGACCATCGCCGACACAGGGGTAGACGTCATGTTTCTCATCGATATTCTTCTTAATTTCCATACTTCATACGTCGGCGATGATGGCTCGATAGTTTTCGATCTGCAGAAGATAAGACGAACTTATTTCCGAAGTTGGTTCTTCGTGGATATGATCACCTCCTTGCCGTATGGTTTGATTGGTTTGCTCATGGGTCGTGGACTAGGAAAGGTAAGTGATGTTTTCGGAGCATATATTATGTATCTCGAACGTTGGGATCAAGTGTAGGTAGTATTCTACAATAATTTGTCGTGGTTTGTGTCTGAACTACCTGAAAAAGATCTCTCAAACGTGGTGGTCCAATGTAGGTAGTATTCTACAATAAGCTGCCATGGTTTGTGTATGAACTACCTGAAAAAGATATCTCAAACGTCGTAGTCCAGTGTAGGTAGTATTCTACAATAAGCTGCCATGGTTTGTGTCTGAACTACCTGAAAAAGATAACCTGTTCTCCATAGAGGTTCATTAAGGACGATCCCTTAACGGTGCAGTGTTACTGTATTAGGTAACCGTAGAACCCGGAACTAGGTAAAGTCAAACTGGAATCATGTGACTGAGGTAAAATTATAATCAGACAAGTGCATGACATGTTCTTACCACAATAACACCAACCCTTATTTCTTACCGACATACATTTCATCTCTTCCAGGGCATCACAGACTTGATAGGATTTCTCAAAGCGATACGTTTACTGCGTCTCAATCGCGTGGTGCGTGCTTTAGATCAATACTTGGAGTATGGTTTTATCACTTTGATTCTCTGGATATTATTCTTCTGTCTTTGTGCCCATTGGATGGCTTGCATTTTCTTTGCCATAGCAGAACATTACGATAACTTCGCCGAGATTGGCTGGGTGCGCGCAATGTCGGATCAGACAATGCAGCCGCTGATTATTGTCAATGGTACAGTACTTCAGACTCCAACACTTGCTTCGCTCTACATGTCTTCGCTATATTTTTCACTCACAAGTCTTACGTCCATTGGTTTCGGAAATATCGCCCCAAATACAACAGCTGAGAAAATTTTCTCATGTGTGACCATGATTTTTGGAGGTAGGTTTTTGAACTGTTCTTCCTAGAGGTTCAGCCAGGGTTACCCATTATTTATCAGCAAATCAGAGTAACAATAAATGAAACAACTGCATATTGCAGGGAATGAAAACCCTCGTTGAAGATTGTGAAAGGCAGTCTTACTAGACTGCCTACCTCCGCCAGAGAGTTGAGTTATGTCTAATGCATAAATTATGCAATGGGCTAATGGAAAAGCCCTGCATGGGCAAACTAGGAAACATTCTTGTGGAAATATTTGTGATTCTCGATGTTTCCTCAAATGTTTCCCTGTTTGCCCACCCGTGGAAACATTGTTGCGGTAACAAAATTTGCTTCCCGAGAAGCAAAAATGTTTCCTAGCGAATTCAGAAACGTTAGATGTTTCCCTATGTTTCTCACTAATGTTTCCTAGTGTTTGCCCACTCAGGGAAACATGGCGAAACATTGATAGAAAACAATGTTTCCTATTTTGCCCAGGGCTTTATACTCTGCTTGGAAAAGTAAGACAAACTTTTGCTAATTTCTCATCCAATTTTCAAATAAAATTGTCGTTGGGAAATCTCCATTAATGCCACAAATTTTCGTTTTAAGAGGCAATTTTTTTCAATGTCACGAATTTGCAATGAAAAGTGTTCAAAACCTAAAATCTTTTTGGCGTTCCTCTCAAAATTACTTTGTTTTAGTTTTATTCTCTAGTTTATAGAGTTAGCTACCTTTTTAAATGCATCTGCCGGTTGAGAAACATAAAATAATAGTTAAAAATTGTCAATTAAAATACAATTATCAAAGATGCTTTTTAATATTGACGCCATATTTACAGCCATATATTAAGCAAAACTACTGAACTTCAGACGTCATTTTCTCTTTGGCGTGTCATCTAAAATCTTTTCATTTTAGCATTATTTTACAAATAAAGCACTAAACATACTTTTTAAGTTTGTTTGCCGATTGAGAAACGTATCGAAAAATAAAAATTTTGAATTTAGTCATAACCTCAAGTGATATATTATACGCATTAGTTTTGAGCGCGTGTTACGTAACATACAAAAAAATCTCCTCTTAATACGTTTGACATTTTTCGAGTTATCGTGCTGAGTGACAAACACAAAGACGCGGATGAAAGCATGACATCCTGGCGGAGGTAGCAGTTGCATATTGCAGGAATGCAAACCCTTGTTGAAGATTATGAAAGGCACTATTATTTAAAGGCACAGTTCAGCCTTTTGAATGATGGTTTCTAAGGCACAAACTAGGAAAATCGATTGAGCATAATTCAAGATCAGCAAACTTAATGTTTTTAAACATTTTAAAACATCTTTATTGTTAAAAACATTGAGTTTACTTATCTTGAATTATGTATAATTGATTTTCCTAGTTAGTTTTTTCAATTAAAAGGGTTGAAATGTGCCTTACAAACCATCATTCAAAAGGCTGAACTGTGCCTTTAAGCGGTTACAGAACACCTTTGAGTGTTAATTTTGCCTAAAATTTTTTTATTGGTTTCCATGAAAGCATTAGACTAGTTCTACTATCTGACCAAGTTTGGACGAAAAATGTTAAAACTCGCAGAGTTATTTAATAAAATACATTTCGCTGCAATAAGAAAAACATTGAAAATGTAATATTCAAATTCAATTTTCTCTCGAAGAATTTTACGGTAATTACTGATTTTCAAACGAGTTGTTCTCCTGCGGGTTTCAGCCAATTTTTCTCAAATTTTCACAGGACATAGCTAAAGACGTCCGTTTCAAAATGGTGTTCGGCTTTGTTCTAATTTTAGATATTTTAATAATAAAGAGCAATTCACTCAAACAATTCAGAAATATATTGCAGTCGTCAAAGAAATCGCCATATTAGCGGAATGACGAAATAAACAAAAATTTCCGAACACAATTTTTTAGAACAACTATTTTACTGTTTAAAAATTATATTTTCATAAATATAACTAAAACCAGCACGAGCACAACTCAAAAGCGTAACGGTACCGCGATTTAAGATTTTCCTAAATAATTCTTACATTATTTTATTGTTTGTTAATTTTATAACTTTACCATATTTTGCATTCACTGGCGATCATTTGGTGAAAATTTTATGAAAATCAGACTGATTTTGAGCGCGCAGTAGCGATTTTCCGCAAAACGCCAAAAAGGGTGTCCTGTAACCTTAACAGCTCTTCTTCGATACGGTATAAACAAACCTAGCCGTTTTTTCTGTGCAGGTTTATGCTATGCAGTGATTTTCGGACAAGTGACAGCAATTGTGCAACAGTCGCAGAAGAAATCTGAAGGTTATCATGAAACCTTGGACAACATGCGTTCATTTTGTAAACTTTACAATGTGCCCAAAGAAATTGCCACGAGAATTATTGATTATTACATGTACACATGGGTGTTGAATAGAGGAGTGGACACTAACCAAGTGAGTGCAATCATTTACATGTTACTTCAACTAACATTCATACTAGACAGTTCTATCATTTCTAAGCTATTCTCCATAAAGGGCCGGGCTAGGTCGTTCCTTATGAAGAAAGCGGAGTACCGGGACATAATACCTGAAAAATACAAGGAGACCTTATGCATAATGACGTCACAAGGCTTGATGCCCGCGAGGATTGCTGGTCTTAGTAGTCATCACCCGGGAAAATGTTGATAGTAGACTGTTTAATTTTCCGGGCAATGACTACTAAGACCAGCATTCCTCGTGGGCATCAAAGCCTTGTGACGTCATTATGCATAAGGTCTATTGCAAGTACACTTCTCTCATACGACTGAAGTGAAATTATAAACAGACAACAACAACATAATGCAGAATTCGAATCTCAGTCGCAGAGGTTACTGGCGCCTGTAACACTCCATACATTTTCAGGTCATTAATGTATTTCTCAAATGTAATTTTTCCAATAGGTCTTACTGAATTGTCCTAAAGATCTACAATCAGACATCTGTATTCACCTCAACCGGAAAATAATTGATAGTACTCCAGCTTTTGGCGAGCTGTCAAACGCCGTGCTCAGAGCTGTAGCGAGGAACTTCGCTATACATCGAGTGGCACCTGGGGAGAGAGTGGTACATGAGGGGGAAAGTTTGGAGACGGTGTATTTCATTGGCAGTGGTTCCTTTGAAGTCACACAGAAAGGAAGAGTTGTGGGATTGTTGGGTAAGATAACTAAGCTTACTTTATTTAAGCTGCATAGCTCGAGCTCTGCCAGTTCTAAACAGTTCTTCCTACAGATCCAGTATTACTCTGTTAGAAAATATATAAGGAGAATTTCGACGTTTCGAGCCTTTCGTCCAGTTGGCAGTTAATACTAGGCTAGTCTTGAAGTTTTGAAGGATTTGTAAGAAATGTTTGAAGGAACTGACTCAGTGTTAAACACATCAGTTCCCTCTAACATTTCTTACAAATTCTTCAAAACTTAGAATTTACCGATGCATGCAAAATTCCTACTGTGATCACAGAAACTTTGATAGTGTAAACCAACCTTTACTTCTAAACTGTTCTTCCCTGCAACAAAAGAAAGGCACTTTTATTGGTTTAGTTTTAATACAAGAAGAAATTGGATTACCATAGAAAACTTCCATTATTTGGCAGAGTTAAACTGTAAGTTATTTTTTCATATGATCAGAGACTACTAAGGTGAGATTATAATCAGACAACACCTTACTGTAAGAATCAGATCCGTTTCGCAGAATTGGTAGAGTATGCCCAAGTATGTGCCACTAACATCCATTCTACCGGAACATCGCAGCATGTAACCTCTGCTGCTAAGATGTTCCGGTAGAATCACAATCAAACTTCAACCTTAATTTTCAACTAATCTTCATATTTTGATTTTTAGGCGAAGGTGACGTATTTGGTGATGACGTTTGTCGCTTCAGTGATGTTGGAAGATCAGTGGCTGATGTGTTTGCACTCACGTATGCCAATGTTCATGCTATTGGTCGAGATGAGTTATTGAATGCTCTCGCATTTTACCCAGAGTATGGATATCAGTTTGCCAAAGCTTTCAGGCTCTCGTACAGTTTAAGAGACGAGGTTAGTCTATTTCTTCATTTAAAGCCACAACTGATTTTCATTATACCTGCCTGCCCTACCTACTTACTTACCTACCTACCTGTAATAACAACTATCTCTTAATGCTTATTTAGGTAACAATGAGAAAACTTTCGTCCCACCCACGTGCAAAATCTCATATACCGAAGGGAATAATCGACGGGCGCAGATACAGCATTGTTGAAGAGATGCAACATGCCTATGACACGGACTCAAACAGCGGGGACCTGGGCACTCCCAACAGTCAAAATATGACCGACACAGACCCACCGAGCAAACATTTTGTCAAAGCCGCAAAACCTCGTCTTAGCCATGGTAATGTCATGGAAGGTATCCCGGAAGATGCCGAGCTTGACCCGAGCGGTGACGATGAGGATTTCAAACGCTGGAGTGAGTACCATAACGGGCGAGATGTTTCTGAAGGACTTCTCAACGAAATCAGCGGAATGAAGTCGGAAGTCAGACGCGAAATCGAGGTTATGGGCGGGAAGATGAATCAATTGGAGCAAAATATCTCGACTATATTAACTCTACTCCGAGACCAAGGTCTCAAGTCTCCAGGGTCAGCATTTATTTCCACTCTCAAGTCACCCGAGCCAGCGAGAGCTCATAGCAATACTGCTGGTATTATATCACGTGTGAAATCTGAGCTGCCTGAAGAGATTCTGCCCGACTGGGTCGAGATGGAAAACTTTGGAATGGCGGGAGTTACAAGGGATGATGGGACGCCGAAACAGGAGGAAGCCGAGGAGGGGAATGAGGAGGAAGAAGTGAAGTCGAAGAAAATTGGCGGGAGAATCACGAAGAAACGAAAACTTGAAGCGAAACGAAAGAAGAAAAAAGCTGAAAAATCGAAATATGACTCAGAGGACGAACACGAAGCACCTCATGATGACGACCTCCTTGATGCGCCACCACCAGAATTTACGGAAATACCTGCAGAACCTGAGACTCCCGAGGTTTCTCAGCCTGCAGAAGAGAATCCCGTGGAAGAGGAAAAGCCCAAACGAAAGAAGAAAAAAGGCGACAAGTCTTCCAAACATAAAAATGACGACGTAGTTCCCAGTTCATCACGAGAAGGCTCGGCCAAGGTGGCTCTGGAGATGAGTGAAATTTTCCGCCAAGACGAGACCCAAGACAACGAACCCGAAGACGACTTGTTGAAACCTGCAGATGAAGACGAGCCGGGCAGACTGTCATCTTCAAGTCAACCTGAAGACAGCAAGAAAAAACGTAAAAAGAAAAGGAGTAAGAAGTCATCCAGTGTATCACGGGAACCTTCTGCCAAGCCAGAGACTCGAAACGAAGATGCACAGCCTGACGAGGACTCTGGAAAACCGGATTCACCAAGACCTGGAAGCCCTGCAAGAAATACTGAGGAAAACGAACCACAGAGCCAGCCTGCACAACCTGACGAGCCGGAGCGCCCTGAAAATGACAGGTCGGATTCACCAGTTGCTTCAAGAGCAAATACAGCGCGAACATCAAGCGCTCGAAGTCCCCATGGGCAAGATAACTCACCTAAAGAAAATACTCCCTCGGAAGAAAATAATCCCCCAGCAGAAAATAATCCCCCAGCAGAAAATAATCCCCCAACCGGAGAAAGACCACCAAGTGGAGGCAATACTCCGAAAATACAAAGCCCCGAGCCTGAGAATAAGCCACCGAGTCGCGAAGCAAGCCCAGGAAGAGGCGGTGATGTCGCGCTCACTATAGAGAACTCGGACGAAGATGATTTTCAGGTTAAGAAAAAAGAGAAACCTGACAATGTTGAGTAAAACAATTTATATGTGACTGTGAACACTCTTTTCTACGGTTTTTATCCAGGACTTCGACCTTCATCCTAACTTCAGTTTTATGAATGTTTCTTATAATTCGTAGAGTGGTTTATAACAACGAGTTTGACAAAAAAAGTTTTCTGTTATAAAGGAGAACACGTTCTTAGTAATTCACGTAACCAATAGCATGACCAATCACGCTACAGTTAGGTCCAGCCAATCACGATCGAGAAATGACCAGTTCATCCAGGGTTCCCGCCGTGCCCCACCAGAGAGAGGCGAGGACGAGTCCTACACAACTTTTTCCAGTTCAGTGACATACGAGACGCATCTATCATCGGAAAAATGTCACCTTTGCCAAAAATAATCCAAGTGGGACAATTACGGAATGACTGAGCGACTCATTTGGAAAACTTTCCAACTAGACCATAATGATTGCACAGTTGTCAGCGAGGGTTTCCCAAGAGGGTTGGGGCGGGGGGTCTGTGTTCTCGTGTTCCCTTGGAATTTTTTCCTTTATTCCCTTGTTTTTCAGAAATATTTCACTATGTTGACTATGGTTTCCCAAGCTTACATTTTCCCTTCTTCCCTAGCTTTGTTCGATCTCTTCTTCCCTAGAAACCAGTTGCCCTAAAAATCTCTGGGAGACCCTCCGCAGTCATGTAACTTAAAATTGAAGTCCAAAAGAAAGTGTAAATTAATTCTTAATTGCCCGCAAGCACAAAAGTTACATCGGCAATGACGAGTAGTTTTAATACTAATATTTTCATACACCCTTTTCATAAATGGCTGCGATTAAAAATTCTTTTATGTGCATATAAATTGGCCCAACTAGCCTCGTTTCTGAGTAGAAATTCCTTTGAAATCTCAACATGAGTACGAGGCTAGTTGGGCCAATTTATATGCACATAAAATAATTTTTGATCGACAGCCATTTATGAAAAGGGTGTATAGGAAACAATTTTTTATCGTAACTTTTTATTCTGTTTACTTTGATTAATTGCACTTGTCAATTAAGTGAACCAATGTGATCACAGCCTCGCACTACAGCCTTGGGCGTCATGATTTTTTAGTTTGTAAAATTGCGCCAGTAGAATATGTATATGAACAGCATATTGCACAACATACTGTACAAAAGCGTTATCTCCAACATATATATTGCACTCAGTTGTATTTTTTATAGTGATAATAAATATATATATACGTTAACTGAACTAAAATAACTTTATTGATAGTGGATACTGGATAGTAACTAAGGTTTTTCTCTCAGTTTTAGATTGTTATTTACAGATGAAAGGCCGTTTTAACTCAGTTTATTAAGGTCCATTTCCCCTCAAGAAAAATTTCCGCGGACAGAAAATTTTCCGAAAATGTAGTTAATCGTGTTTTTAAATTTGATATGACATAAAAATATAGTAAAGATACATTTTTAGATTTTTATAAGTTAGATAAAAACACACTGCTAACTTTTTTAGTCGCAATTCAATTGATCGGTAAATTGGAATATCTGTTTTTATATCAAATGGTAAATTAGAAATAAAATTTTTAAAAAGAAAAGTGCCTCATCAGTCCATACTTCCCGACTCTGCTAGCCCGTATCGGTCAAGTCCGTCTCGTGCTAGCCGCTAGAACGCCGTGTGTTAACGTTTAAGCTAGATTTCGGCTAAACTCAACGCTATCGTCAGAGGCGGTGAAAGGTGGCTTACCAACCGGTATCGAACGAACTACGGGGGAGAGTGCCGGCGGCCCTCAGAGTTATGCCTGACACCCTTTTCGCAAGATCCTATGATCGGTAACTACCACACACAATAGTAACATTTCGGTATATAAGTACGTTACAGTTGCTTGGTGTGGTGCGTGTGGGACGCTTTAGGTCGATGTTTACCAAACCATTGAAACAAACGCATGCGCGATAACTTGACACTCGGGTAAACGTAGCGCATGCGTGGGCATCATCCAATCAGGAAGCAGGAAAATTTCGCACTGGTCCCGCGAGTTCGAGACACGTGCGAGACGGCTCAAAAATTTAAAAAAATTATTTGCCTCCTAAGAAATCACTTTGCAATTCTTAAGCATAAAATATTTTAGGCCCCTGGGAATTGAAATCGAATTGCTAATAGATCATATTACTGTTGTTGTGATTAAATAAATGCTTAAATTTTGCTTTATGCACTCGCGTGTTCAGTAATTTTGACAGTTGTGCTATTTTAAATTCCCAGGCGCCTAAAATCTTTTATCTTTAAAACAATATCGATTTCTTGGGAAATTCCGAGGTTTTTTTTATACAACTTGTACATGCACCTTCTCAATATTTTACGCATCATTACGTTCAGCTGTTTGGAAGGGCATTCAAATTTTAACAATAGTGATTTCAATAGTTTTCTTTTTTTTGGGACACCCTGTATTTCAGCCTGTTTTAGGCCCGTTTCATACGCCGTACTTCACATGTGCCGAATACATTAAAAACAATAGGTACTGTAGGTACAACAACAGCTCATTACCTATTGTCTCATTACCACATGTGAAGTACGGCGTATGAAACGGGCCTTATACGTCGAATTTCGGTCGCGTCGAATGCAATTCAAACAATAGATAATGAAGCTCAATGAGGTTTATCATCTCATTGTACTGTATTCGACGCGACCAAAATTCGACGTATAAAACAGGCCTAAAGTGACAATACTTAACTATTATTTTGTGTTTCCCAATCGCCAGATACATTTAAAAAGGTTGCTAACGGTGTAAACTACAAAATGAAGCTAAAACAAAGTAATTTTGAGATGAACGCCCAAACAATTTTAGACTTACACGAAAATACAATGAGCTCAATCACTACAATTAACTTGTGACCATGGAATGTCCAAAGAATTTCAAATCAACAACCATTCCCGGGCCTATTGTAATAATGTTCTCCAAGGGATTACAACCAATCAATAATTTTGCCTTCAGCCAATCAGCGAGCTCATTTGCTTAGCTCAGCCAATCAAGACGAGCGTGTGTTTGTGTAACTGGGCGTAATATCTTTTACGTGCGAGGCAAGTTTAAAATTTCGCTTCGTGGCAGCAAGCTTACATTTGCACAAGTACTCGAAGAGAGAAGTTTGTCTCGAAAGATCGCTGTTTAATCAAGCTAAATTTAAGGTAAGAATCTTTAGTCTTTTACTGTGAATTTGCTTTAGCCTTCGTCAATCGAAGGGCGACTTATATATGTTTTTGAAACGCGACTAAATTCATGAACCGTTCGCTAATAGAATTCGTTCAAATATTTTTTTCGATCCTGCATGAGTAGTCGCCACGTGTATTGTACGGCCTTTCAAACTTTTGGCTATTTCTTAACATTTTCGATGAGATCTTGTAGCATTAAACTTCAGAATCCTTGTCTTTTGTCTTGCAATAACTTATATTTCTTTTCTTCCAATTTTAGGCCAGAAAGTTCGGCGAGAAATTCGCTCAAGCCATTGACTGGCCACGAAGTCATGCGGAGATATATAACCAGGTACATATATGTCATATTTCTCTATAAATATTTGTCGCAAACTAGAATTAACGCTTACTTTTAAGAATTGTTAAGTATCCCGGTAGATTTATAGTCCCCTTAATAGTCTAAATTTTGGTCAACTTTTACTCAAGATAATACCTAAAATGAAAGCTGTATGGTTTACTCAAACGATTTGGTTGTACTTCATCTGTACTGTACAGTTTGTCCACAATTTTGTACGATATTTTCGAGACTTCTTAGTTAAAAATTCTGAAATTAATTTGCTATTTCTTTGAGCTTATGTTGCAATTAGACTCGGAGTTTTGTTCTATCTTATTAATAACAACTCTGAAACGAATTTTGTTTAATTCTACTAAATATTAATACTGAATTTTGCTGTAAAATGCTTTCATACGAGTATAGACGCGTTCAATTATTGATGTTTTTTTTTTATTTTCCTTCCAGGTGCAAAGTGTAATGAAGTGAAATGACCCGCAAAAATGATATCCCTTTCAACATGCATGAGTAAGTAGAATTTAATGCATTTGTCATGATAGTTTCGCCTCAGTCAATGTGAGAATAATTATTCATGCAGCAAATTCGGGTACTCCGAATTCCTGTCGTAACACACAGGCGTTATGCATTTCTTGACGTAATATTTTTTGTTCTGTACGTATAACACGCGCTCAAAACCAATTCCGATTACATTCAAACTTGTATTTTTCGACACGTTTCTCAATCGGCAAGCAAACTTAGTGCTTTATATGTAAAATATTGCTAAAATGAAGAGATTTTAAATGGTACGCCAAAGAGAAAATGATGTCTGAAGTTCAGTATATGTTTTGCTGATAATATTGGCGTCACTTTTAAAGCATTGCTAATTGTAGTTCATTTTACTTTTCAGGTTGGAAGGAGGAAACCCGCGCTTGGGCGGACAAGGATTTTTTACCTGCACATTTTTATTTTTGAGCCGATTTTTTTCATACTCAGTCGTCGTCAGGACGCAAGACTTCAGAGACAAGGAGACGAGAAGAGCCCAGCTCGTCTGCCTTCATTTCAAAACTCGCACATCCAAAATTTTAAGTGTCTGGAAACATACTTTAGGCCTCTCTTAGGGCTAGTTTAGGATGATATGAGAAACGAGCGTGATGAACTCGTCAGATTAAGTTAGTTAGGACTGAATGCGTGAGATAAACGCTTAGCCAGTCCCCTCGGTATCTGCCCCAAAACATGTTCGCACATTTTATGTTTGTTCAATGCTCAATGTGGAGCACTCGTGGAAAAGAAGAAGATTAATGGTGAACGAAGATTCACAAGGTATTGTATTGTGTTCTATATATTTATATTTATCATTCAGGGTTTCTAAAAAGACCTAGTGACCCTCTAGAAAGTTAGTAGTTTAGTCTTGATCACTCAATTGCACTATACTTATTTATGTTTTATTTTGTTGTTTTAGAAAACGGAAGCCATTATGATGGGATGTCTCTTACGAATGCGAATGCAAGTTGGCGTAAGCTGATGAGTTTGATGGCTCGAGTATTTTCCCAGAGCTTCAGTACTGAAATAGGTTTGCACCGGGTGCTCCAGTTTTTAGCCAACAATACAGAGTGTCTCTGGGTACTTCAGATTTAAACAAACACCACAGATTGACTCTGGGTAATCCAGATTTAAATAAACACTACAAATTTACACAGAGTAGCCCGGATTGAGTCGAGCATCGCAGATTGTTTCTGGGTACTCCAGATTGAAACAAACACCACAGATTTTCGCCGGGTACTCCGGATTTATTAAACACTGCAGGGTTTTTCGAATATAGTCGCCTAAGTGGTGACGTCAGCAGTGATTTGAAGTAGTTAGACTTCAATGAGGTATGGATGCTGAAAACATTCTAGCAAAACGTTTGAACGAAGAACGAAATGCCGAATCCCGTGTACAAATTCTCAGTGATCTGAAGCTTGCGGTAGTGTAGGTCCGTGTTAGCAGTTCAGTGATTTTCCAGCTCAGTTTCTACAAACAGAGCATGCGTGGAACGGTCGATAGCGATGTTGGTTTCGTGTGATTTCCCGCGAGTTGTCCCTGCCCTCAGATTTGATGGAGAAGTACGTTGGAAAGGCGCCTTCCTATATGCGTGCTTTTCGTTTGAGTCTGGTGGAAGGGGCATTTCAACCGGAAGCCAAGGGAAATCAATATCGCTATCCATCGTTCTGCGCATGCTCCGGTTGCAGAAACTGAGCTGGAAAATCACTGGACTGCTCACACAGACCTACAACTACCGTAAATTTTAGATCACTGAGAACTTGTATGCAGGATTCGACCTTTCGTTCTTCGTCCAAGCGTTCTGCTAGAATGTTTTCAGTATCCATTCTTCAACGAGGTCTAACTGCTTTAAATCACTTCTGACGTTATCGCTTAGATATCTGTATTCGTACCCAGACTCAGTTGCTCACAGCACGCATAAATACTTAACCAGCTTTAGAGGAAATCAACTTGAGTTAACAGCCTCGGTTTCTTCGGAAACTTTGCGTTTGCACAAGAAAGAGTACCCATGGCAATTCATTCCGATGACGACGTCCGACCCCAGATGACGCTGAACCTACGATGACTGCGTAAAATTACGGTTTGACGACTAACTCTCGGTAAATCTGTGAAGGTGTATATATGTTGCTATGTTAGAACGCGTGCTCAGAATCCTGTGTAAAGTATAGTTCTATTTATTATTTATCATAGTCGGGATTCTGGGTACTAATTATCCTGGTGCTCTTATTCCGGTATATTTGGGTTGGCTACGTTGCGACGCATGCGCGCTAAAACATGGTCTAAAACTTGCGAGGTATTTCATGAGGTTTATTTGTTTTTTACTTTGCGACTAGTTTCGTTTCCTCAGCGTCTAAACGTAGCTCATCCAATTTGACGCATGGTTTTTGCGTGGTCTTTGGCATGGTCTGTGCATGGTTTTGACATGGTCTATGCATGATGATTGCATGGTTTTTGGCATGGTCTGTGCATGATTTTTGCATGATCTGTGCATGATGTTTGCATGGCTTTTGGCATGGTCTGTGCATGATTTTTGCATGGTCTGTGCATGATTTTTGCATGGTCTGTGCATGATTTTTGCATGGTCTGTGCATGATGTTTGCATGGTCTGTGCATGATGTTTGCATGGTCTGTGCATGATGTTTGCATGGTTTTTAGCATGGTCTGTGCATGATTTTTGCATGGTCTGTGCATGATTTTTGCATGGTCTGTGCATGATTTTTGCATGGTCTGTGCATGATGTTTGCATGGTCTGTGCATGATGTTTGCATGGTTTTTGGCATAGTCTGCATGATTTTTGCATGGTCTGTGCATGATTTTTGCATGGTCTGTGCATGATGTTTGCATGGTTTTTGCATGGTCTGTGCATGGTTTTTGCATGGTCTGTGCATGAATTTTGCATGGTCTGTGTGCATGCATGGTCTGTGCATGGTTTTTACATGGTTTTCACATGGTCTGTGCATGATATAACTACAAAGCACTAAGTACATTGCATCGATTTCAAAATGAAATATATGTATGTCTTGGTCTTTTGCAGTTTTGGTCCATTGGAAAATTACGCTTAAATTACTGAGCACTTAGAAAAATGCTTGAAATTTTACCTATTTCGTGTGTGTCAAAAACACTTTGCAAAAAAAAAATTATTTGGAAAAATTCTTGTTTCGCCCCGACTCGGGAATCCAAGCGTAGTTTTTTAATAGGCCTTGCGAAGCGTTTGGTTTTGATGCGAAAGTCGCCAGGAACGGCTAAGTTCATGAATACTTTGTACACTGTGAAACACGTCATCAAATTTATGCGCGGGAACATGGTATTCGTGAACTTGGTTGTGCGCTGCATATGCTAATAAGGTCTTCGCGCTTTATTCTATTAATGTTAGTTAGTTCTCCACGAGTTCGTACGGATTCGTATATAATCTTAAAGATTTATAAATAAACGTCGTTTTCATGCAAATATTCGCAAATTGCAAAAATTTGTTCTGGAGACGGACGCACACTAAAAAAAAATTAAAAAAGAGGAAAATGACGCTGCCTCGCAGATTAGGCGTGCGCATGGAACCTGGTTCACAATTTGTGAAGCTTGTTTGGCGTACCGCGCTTGGAAAATGCGCGTGGAAGAAAAAAGCCTTTGACCGCAATAAATGCAATACAAAGTTTTTATCTTCACGCGCGTCTTTTTCGCGCTAGGGCGTTTTGTCCGTCTTGCCCTGACGGGTATTATATTTCGATAATACCACAAGAACTTTTTTGTCTTGAAAGTGAGTATGCATCATTTTTCTTAATATCCCTGCTAGCGGGATTTTTGCCCTCCCCGTGAATAAAATCGGTGCTAGCAGGGATATATGTATCTGCACTAACTTTTGCACCCCATCTCTAGATGGTCGCTTAATCTCTGGTCGTGAGATAGCAGAAGCTTTTTTCTTCAGGGCATTCGGCAAAACTTAAGGTTGACGACGATTTTTTGACGGTAGCAATATGGCGACGTTTGTGCAAATAATAGTGTAGTATATTGTAGTATCCGGCATTAATTCCGGCTGACAATGGGCTGTGAGTTTGTGGCCGACACAGATTCCTTCGGCTGCATTTCTTCCGATTAATCTTCTTTGGTTCTCCGGTATATCTTCTCGCATATATCTTCTCCGGTATTAAAATTCGGCTAACATATTAGGAGGGTTTTCCTCCGGGCAATGCCCGGTTTCCCTCGAAACAAAAAACAGTGCCCGTGTTCCGGGACCTAAAACCGTACTGCTGAATTCAGTATGTAAAATATGGAAAAGATTCAAAATATTCATTACATTATTGCGTGGCCTCCAAGCTTTACAAAATCAACACACACCTTACCTTTAGCAAAAAAAGTTGGATTTCTACAACAATTTTTGAGATTGTGCACGGAGTAACGGTTTTAAGGTCTCTGGGTTAGATTCCCAGAGCACTGTCGCTATGTTTCGCCTGTATTCGTGGTTTTCATTTGGGAGTCAAGGATCTGTGTCAGCTACTTTGTTTATTTGTTGTTTTCACGCTAGTAACAAATGATGGTGAGGACAAGGTTCCTGATGGTGAGGAGAAGGTTCCTGATGGTGAGGAGAAGGTTCCTGATGGCGAGGACAAGATTCCTGATGGTGACGACAAGGTTCCTGATGGTGAGGACAAGGTTCCTGATGGTGAGGACAAGGTTCCTGAAGGTGAGAACAAGGTTCCTGAAGGTGAGAACAAGGTTCCTGAAGGTGAGGACAAGGTTCCTGACGGTGACGACAAGGTTCCTGATTAAGTGGCAAAAAAATGAGCAAAAAGTAAAGCTATAGCCTTAACTTTTCCTCCATTTTTTGCCACTTTTTCAAACATGAAATAAGTGGCAAAAAATGAGCAATGAGCCTTAACTTTTCGTCTTTTTTTTGCCACTTTTTCAAAAATGAAATAAGTGGAAAAAAATGAGCAAAAAGTAAAGCTATAGCCTTA